GTATTTAGTAACTACCATGGTCTTGGTAATGAGTTTAAAATTACATAGGTTAAGTAAAATATTATGTAGTTACAAGGGATAAATGTGAATGTTTCTCTAATTTTAATCTATGTTGCATCAATACCGACATAAGACATGTGACACGTTACGATACTCCGACATGTTAATTATAAAAAAAAAAAAAAAAATTCGACACGTTAGGAAATGTTTTGATATTAAATAATATTTTAATTTATGTAGTGCATATTATATTTAATATTCAATAATTTAACAAAAATGTGAAACTAAATTTATAATTCCCATCAATTTAGCAAAAAAGCATAAGATGTAAATATTTACTATTATATTTTTAAATTAAAAATCTCTTATACACTCTAGTGAAATTTATTCGGTATCCATTTTTAATTTTTATTATATCAGTTTGGCAAAATATCGATCAATTTTTTCATGATATGTAATGAAATTTCAATTATTATAGATGTTGGAGCGTGTCAAAGTGTCAAGGAGTGTCGGGGTGTCGGTAAGTGTCAGACACAACACTTCAGATTTTTTGAAATGTCGATGCAACATTGATTTTAATAACACAATTTCGATAGACATTTGAAAAAAAGATTATGAATTTTTTTGTTTAGAATAATTTTTTTAAAGGATAAATTTTTTTTGCATTTGGATGAAGAACCTAAAACTTAATTTTAAGGTAAAAAAAACTATTTGAATATTGAAATTAAAGAAGCACTTTTTATTTATAAAACTTTTAAAATGTATATAAGATGTTGGTATGTAGTAGTGGTGGGAAGGAAGTAGTGGAGTGGAATTGGGACAAAATTATTTTTGGAGAAAAATATTTGATTTTTAATTTTATTTCCAAGTGAGGTTTGAAAAAAAAACATTATTATTATTTTTTTACTTTTCCTTTCATTAATAGTTGGTATCGAAATATTTGATAGGATTTAAAAATATAATTTTATGCATTATATATATATATATATATATATATATATATTATTTCTCATGTTGCATAAAATAATTTGTCTCATGCAACACACAAAATAATATGTGGGACCCACTTATTGTCTTTCTCTCTTCCTTAATGGGTCTCACCAACTTTTTTGTGTGCTGCATGAGACAAATTGTTTCATGAAACATGAGATACAATATTAAGGCCAAATTGGGCTATTATAATGAGTCATAGTTAATGATAAATTCTTATACATATACCCCCATTACTACATATTTAATTCGATGTTTTGCCCTTTGTGTTCTAGGTAAGAATCATGCCCCACTTGTGGTTTTGAATTTGTGATTTGTTTTGTTCCACGTTATTGGTTTCATTTGCACAAGATTCTTGTGTGACATCAGATCTAAACCTAGTACATGCGAAATAGAGGCTCAATTATTAAAAGCCTGAAAGGCCTAGAGAACCCCTGCAACATAGCCGCAAAGGCATACCATCTCGCAAAGGATGCAATGATCTCGCTAAATACTTGGTCAGCAAGCCAACGTAACTTAACTTGAAAGAAACCATCATTGCCGAGATCTGCAGCTCAGGCAAGTTGGCTACCACCAGAAACTAGTGAAAGGATGGTAGCTCCTGCTTGCCACCACACCTACTGAATCTACTACTAAACATAGGCTTGCCCACCAAGGAATACCCTAAGATAAGCCATTCTTCTCCATCAATAAACGTGAACGCTGTATAATGAAAGACGGTGAGAAACAAGGCGCTGAGCCACTATAAATATAAAGGCTTTAAACCCAGATATGATATCTCTTTTTGAATATTTGAACCTTCTTGAATATTAAACTGACTTGAGCGTCGAAGTGCCTTTATAGGTGATGCACTTGAGCCACCATAAGTTATTATAATTGCAGACGTTTTAGTTTTAAGGCCTTTTATAATTTTAATAATTGCAGACGTTTCAGTGTGCATGACTTTATGTTTGGTTTATGGTTATTTCCGTTTTGCATTAGTTTTAAGATCATCGATGGTCCTTTATTATCAGTTACTTTTTGTATTGCCTGATTAAAAGGCTTGTCAGAAGGATGTGAAAGGTGGACTTTTTTATTGTTAAAGAATAATAGTATAGCAGAAAACTTCTGCATTTTCCTGAAAGCCTATTTTCCCTATAATTTTGCATCATTTGGTATCAAAGCTCAGGTTGCCTTAAAGATTGCTGAGCAGGAAAATCGTGGAGGTCGTGGTCGTGGACGAAGAGGTCGTGGCGGCAGAGGATGCGGTCAACCTACCGATGAAGATTATTATATTGATGCGAGAGATGCTGAAATTGAGGAAAAGGACAGACGGATCCAAGAACTCGAACAACTGCTTGCAGAGGCACAGTTGCACGGGTCAGAAGGGAGACAGGAATCTGAACTGTCATCTCCAGAGGAAGAGGAGGATGAGAATCCATTTTGGAACCGCGAAAGACCAAGGAGAGGTCGAACCGGTGATCAACTCTTCACATCCAATTTTGGGATGAAGATCGAGATTCCAGAATTTGGGGGATCAACTCACCCTGACGTATTCATCGACTGGTTACACACCGTCGATAGGGTTTTTGATTTAAAAAACCTCACAGATGAGCAAAAGGTGAAATTAGTAGCAATCAAATTAAGGAAGCATGCCTCAATCTGGTTGGAACATGTCAAGAAACAAAGATTAGAGACGGAAAGTCTAAGATTCAAAGATGGGACAAGATGAAGAAATTGTCGCAGCACAAATTTTTGCCTGCTCAATACAGACAAGAGGCTTTTATTGAGTATCATAATTTCAGGCAACATGACCTTACGGTGGAACAATACACCACTGAATTTGATCGTTTTCGAATGTGTTGTGACATGGTCGAAGAAGATGAACAAGTGATTGCTCGATATCTAGGTGGATTGCGGGATGAAATTTCTGATGTTGTGTACCTACAACAGTATTGGTCTTATGAAGATGTGTGCAAATTGTCCTTGAAGGTGGAAGGACAATGTAAAAGAAAGGGTGACAGTTTGAAGTTTCAGTCAAGATTTCCTAGAAAGGAATTCAGAGCTAAATCAGTGAGTTCATCAGCAATTTCACCTGCTGAAAAGGGTTCTACTCCTCAAAAAAATATTCCCAACAAGGAAAGGTAGAGTAAAGGAAGTAGTGCAGGGAAGAGATGTTTCAAGTGTCAAGGAATTGGACACTTTGCTGCAGATTGTCCAAATAAACAGATTGTGACGTTTGCAGATGCTCCAATTTTTAATGAAGAACCAATCTATGACAATGTAGATGAACAAGAAGAAACAGAATCTGAAGAGGTAGAAATTGTCTATGCTGATACCGGAGAATCACTAGTCACTTGAAGAGTCTTGAATGAGGATTTGGTGAATGATGAAACTTGGCTTCGGCATACCATTTTCCACACCAAGTGCACCAGCGGGGGAAAAACATGCAGTGTGATTATAGACGGAGAAGTTGTGAGAACGTTGTTTCTACTACTATGCTAGAAAAATTGGGGTTAAAACAGAAGCACACCCACAACCTTATAAGCTGTCTTGGTTAAAAAAAAAGAAAATGAGGTAGGGGTAACCAAAAGATGCCTCGTGTGTTTTTCAATTGGGAAAAAATATTCAGATGAAGTATGGTGCGATGTCGTTCCTATGGATGCTTGTCACATTTTATTAGGTAGGCCATGGCAATTTGATAGGAAGGCAAAACATGATGGTTTCAAAAATACTTACACCTTCAAAAAGGATGGTCACCTTATTACACTAGCACCTTCAGATTGGAGGAAGGAAGCAAAGAATTCTTTGTTGTCCAAGTCAGAAATTTTAGAGCTGACAAATTCGCAGATGTAATGCCAGAAGAATTGCCGCATGGATTACCACCTGAAGAAGTTGATGTCAATAAAGATGACGCAGATTCGAGGGCGAATATTTTCGTAGTGAGGGAGGATGATGCACTTGAGCCACCATAAGTTATTATGATTGCAGACGTTTTAGTTTTAAGGCCTTTTATAATTTTAATAATTGCAGACGTTTCAGTTTGCATGACTTTATGTTTGGTTTATGGTTATTTTTGTTTTGCATTAGTTTTAAGATCATCGATGGTCCTTTATTGTCAGTTACTTTTTGTATTGCCTGATTAAAAGGCTTGTTAGAAGGATGTGAAAGGGGGACTTTTTTTATTGTTAAAGAATAATAGTATAGCAGAAAACTTCTGCATTTTCCTGAAAGCCTATTTTTCCTATAATTTTGCATCAATAGGTACCCCCGATCGCTCATAAACTGCTCAGATACGCAAAAGTGTTGTCCAACGACCTCGCAAGGTGTCCATCCATCTTGCCAAGCACCCCAGAATCTCAGCAACAATACTCACATCTCTCCTTCTCTTTATCAACATCCTCTCACTTCAACTGTGTGTGATTAGGCTAGCCCACTTTGCGTTGGACCGATCATTGGCGCCATCTGTGGGGACCGATAAATTTTGAATTTCACTCCGTACAAATAAAAAATATGGTTGATACTAAGAGCATGGTGTCCAAATCTAGAATGCTTCCAGAGGGGGAAAAAAGGGAGAGCAATAATCTTGCCAAAGAACTGCCTCTTCTGTAGCTCCAAGTTTTCGTCAACGAGATAATCCACATAAAAATGAACAAATCTGGGAGCTCCTCGGGAAATAGTCTCAAAGGATCGAGGAAAAACAAAAAGAGTTGCAGAAGCTGAAAAAATCATAGGCTGAACCTGAAAAACATTCAGATGATGAAAATGAGAATGGACCAGAACATTCACAAAAAAGCCCTGGTCCTTCACAAAATAAAGGAAAACAAAAGGTTGAAGATCATCAACCTCATGCTAGCCATCATAAGGATAGAAACTCCAATCAGAATTCAAAAATGGTTTCAAAGGTAGTACATTCTTTTACCGTCAAAAGTATAAATTTGCACATTCCAAGGGATATTAAAATAACTACCAAAAAATACAATGGAAAGAGAGATCCCCAAGAATATCTGGAGCAGTTTCAGACTAATATGATGGCTTTGGACGTTCCTGATGCCATAGGTTGCTGCCTTTTCCCAACTACGTTGAAAGGAGTTGCTTTGAGGTGGTACTCAGCTTTGCCATCAAAATCAATCAACAATTGGGAAAATCTTGAAAATATGTTCTTGGTAAGATTTTCAACTAGCAAAGCTCAATACAAATCCACGCACGCGCTTCAAACGGTGAGGCAAGGTGCCAATGAAACCTTGTGTGATTTCCTCAACAAATTTTTTGATGAAGACTTGCTGGTAAGAGATCTTGACCCACAAGTCTCTTTACATCTTATTATTGATGGTCTGAAAGAAGGACCATTTCCTACGTCTTTGGCCAAGCAAAGGTCGAAGATTATTTAAGAATTATGAGCGAGATTTGAGAAATTTATTAATCTCGAGGATTATAAGCGATCCCCAGAAGGCCCAAGTGAAAAATTTGTGGCTAATGATTCAAAAGAGATTTTCAAATGAGGTTCAAGTAGAGGAAAAAGTATGAAAAGTTTGAAAATTATACACCTCACAATACTTTTTGATCTCGCATTTTGAAGGAAGTCTTCCAAACTATTTTTGTCAATGTCACTAAGCCTCCTCCACCCAAGAAGAGAGGCAGACTTGATGAGACAAACTTTTGTGAATTTCATGAAGACATAGGTCACCCACTGAAGATTATTTTAACCTCAAAAATACCATTGAGGCTTTGATTAGAGAAGGTAAGCTCAAAGAGTTTATCGCTACTTGTAAACAAGATAAAATTCAAAAGAAGCGGGATAAAAGTCCCGATCGGGATAGGATCCTCCTAGAAGAAATTATCAAGATAGAATGAATTATGGACAAACCAATAACGGGCGAGATGACACACCCACCAACTATGGGCGTTATGACAGACTTAAGGAAAGATCCCCACGTGAAAGCAGACTAAATGAACAACCTGCAACTCTGCCTAACAATATTGCTGGAGTGTTGGGGACTATTGTGGGAGGTGCTGCAGGAGGGGAAGAAACCTATTCCCAAAGGAAAAGGCATCTGAAAGTCATCTTGACTATCAACAATCGTCCAAAGTTCCCATCTCGCCCAGTTAAGAAAGCACCAATAAGTTTTGACGAAGATGACTATGGCGACATAGTCCCTGAACATGATGACCCACTAGTCATCTTTTCCTACATGGAAAATCTACAAGTAAAAAGAATCTTCATTGATAATGGAAGCTCGGTTGACATTATATTATGGGAAGTCTTCAAATGTATGAATATCCTGGAACAACAAATAGCACCCAGCCGGACTGACTTGCTGGGATTCTTAGGAGAATGCGTGCAGCCCAAAGGCATGATTGAATTACAAGTTACATTCAAGATCATCCCTGAAGCTAAAACTATCAAGGTACGTTTTTACATTATAAATCGCCCATATGCTTATAATGTTATCATAAGAAGGCCAACCATAGTTGGTCTTGGGGAAATCATTTTAATGCCCCATTTGCTTATGAAATTTAAAGATCCTTAAGGGTGGATAGTGGCAATTAGAGGTGACCAAAAAGTAACATGAAGTTGCTATAACAATGGTCTTAAAATGACTAATGAACCAGCACCAAGTTATCATCCCACAATAGCTCAAAAAGTAAAAGCATCCGTAAATATGACTAATTTGGATGTCCATGAAGAGATGGGAGATGTATGTTCCCATCCTGATGCGAAAATAGAAGAAATTCAGGTTGGACCCCAACCTAAAAACACCATTAAGATCAGGCGACATATACCTAAAGGTGGAAAAGAAAGAATAATCGAAGTCCTAATAAAAAATAAGGATCTATTTGCCTAGACTGCAGCTGACATGCTAGGCAGTGACCCAAATTTCATTTGTCATCATTTCTCCTGGGTCCCAAAGCCAAACTCGTGGCTTAAAAGAAGCAAAAATTTGCCCCTGAAAAGAAAAAAGGTGGTTGATGATGAGGTCAAAAAGCTTTTTGAAGTATGAGTGATTAGAGAAATCAACTATTCCACTTGGCTATTATAATAACTCTAACCTGTGAATTATTAGTTTGTAAGTGGATTAAGAGTTTATTTGTGTTTTAGAGGGTTAATCGGGTGAATATCCTAAATTTCGGATAAAATTCCTACCAGGGATACAATGGTAATTTGACAAAAACTGCCCAATTTTGGGTTAATTCTGTTAAATACGCGTAAATGTTCCCTTCAAAACCTTTAAGGTTAACTTATGAAAAGTAACCGAAGGGTATATGCATAAAAGCACAGTTAAAGTGAATCGGTTTTACAACAGAAGGCCAAAGGGTTAATACATTAAACCACGCATAAGAAAGGCAACATTTAATGTTTCTGACAATTAAAATCACATCAATCGTTTATTAAGCAGCAAAATGACTGATTACCAAAGCCTACTCAAGTGCAAAAACTACGAGTAAGTGGCAAAGTATCTCGCCATAAGTGAAAACATAGCATCTCAGGTGAAGGATACATCCTGCTTGAACAATGCATTTCGCATGAAGAGAACATATCACTTCTCATGCCTACAGCATTTGCAACCAGCTGGGGGATTTCTGATTTGAACCTATTACATGCGAAATAGATTCCCAATTATTAAAGGCCTAGAGAACCCCTGCGACGTTGCCGCAAAGGCATACCATCCCGCAAAGGAAGCATGGATCTCGCTAAATACTTAGTCAGCAAGCCAACATAACTTAACTTGAAAGGAACCATCATTGCCGAGATCAATAACTCAGGCAAGTTGGCCACCACCAAGAACCAGTGAAAGGATGGCAGCTCCTGCTTGTCACCACACCTACTGAATCTACTACTAAAGATAGGCTTGCCCACCAAGGAATAGCCTAAGAGAAGCCACATTTTCCCCCCAATAATTGGTTAAACTAAATTTAATGGAATACAGGCTAACATTTTTCTTTTTAGATATCTGCATAGGCCTCCCTTTTCTGATAGATTCACTTCGGTGAATTTAATTCGTATAAAAGTGAGGAGTATATTTTAAGAAAATTGTAGAGTTATAATTCGTGAATAAAAAATTAAGTAGATAGTTTAACCCTTGCTTTGTTGGGTACCCCCCCTTGCTGCTTTGGATATGTCCTCAAAGGCTTTCACCATGCAGAATTTGACCTTCTGCTCATCAATATGGTAACTCTTAATACTCTTGTATAGCTCATAACTGCAATATTTATATACTCTGCAACCAATAAATAAATAAATAAATAAATAATGTTTTAGTAAATATGTAATTTTATTTTCCCTGATAAGAATTACTAATTACGCCGCAGAGATAAAGTTGATTAGCATTTTCTTATTTTTATTTTTATTTTTAAAAAAAAAAAAAAAAAGAGCTACTCAATAATAGGGCAAACCTACTCCCATTATAAAGAAAATTTGCTCATCCATGTGGTTGTTCGCCACCGTTTGAAACATGATCCTCTACTGTAACGTACCATTTATTTGCCCTCCACAAGATTTTCCACGAATATTTAAGAATTTGTGGTTATTTTATCTATCTCTAACAAATTCTAATTTCATCAAGACGTGAGATCGATCAAAAACCACATAATTTTGGTGATGGCAATGAAAGTGTTCAATTCCTACAACTAACAATGTTAGCCTAATAACTTAATGACAATGATTGATGTTTGTTAATATCTTTAATGAAATTATGTTGTAAGAGATAATTTTATTTCTTATACACACATAAAAACATGTGAGACCCATATTTTTTTCTCCCTCTTCTCTTCACGTGGCCCGACAGACTTTTATGTGTGTAGAAAATAAAATTATCTCCTATAACATGAAAAACATTAATCACATCTTTAATACATAATTTTCATGGTTGACAAAGCTACTATAAAGTGTAGAAATTATAGTTCATGTATATCTTACAAGTAGCTCTCATATGTCATGTTGTCAACTGCCATTTTGTCCAATTTACAAATCAGAGTTTCTTCAACTTATGAGCTATCAATATTTAACAATGAAAGGTTGTAAGATAATTTAATTAAGCATTTGACAATAACACTTTTTGGCTCATTGGTGGTTGTATGTCACTTAGGTAGGTAGCGTTTGATAAAACGTAATTGAACAGCTGTGGTTTGATTTGTTCTTTTTTATTTCTCCTTTTTTTAGTATGTTATGCTCTACTCTGTTCTAATATACTTACCGAACGCTTCTTTAATGTTATTAACTTATTATTATCAAATGGTTGAAAGAAAATACCAAAATGACACGTTTAAGTTAGTGAAACTTGTATATAGAGTTCTCCCAAAGTTTTGGACTGAAACCTTTGCTTTCTATAAAAAGATTAATCAAGGAATCTGAGTATTTTTTCGTTCTTACTATTTATTAAGAATGTAATTGTTTTTTAACTCAGTTTTCCCAAATAAGTAAAAAGAGAAACGAACGTTGACTCTGGATGGAAGAATTTAAACTGCAGATAATTGATTACCCAAAAAAAAACTGCAGATAATTTACTTAAGAGTATGTTTGATTCTGCATTTGAACTACAGAAGTTCGGTTTTTTGATAGTGTAGTTCTTATTTAATAATTAATTATCAAATTAATCTTGATTATAAATTATTTCAAATATTTAATATGTCCAGAAAACATAACATCAATCTATTTCCTGTTTAACCGTTAACCATTAAGTCTACCGGATATTTTTAAAAATTTTACTCTACCCAAATAGTCAAGGAGATACCCTGCAAAAAACTGAAAAAATGCTTGAATTATTTACCTAAATTTCGTCCAGAAATCCAATTACATATCATATTTCATTATAAACCCAATTACATATCATGTCCCATTATAAACCCAAACAAACACGCCCCCTCACATTTCCATTTTTTTAAAAACTTTCTCTCTCTAAAAAACTCAAACCAAAACGAAGGTGAGTCCACTCGTCGCATCTTTTTCCTTCTCAATCGTTTCAAATTTTTCCACTGTTCCCCCCACCCCCCTATTTGCTGCGTCGCCGTATTAATGAAGGATGGTTGCCGGAGTGGAGTTGCCGGAGGGGAGAGCCGGCGGTGTTTTTTTTTTTCCCCTTGACATATTATTAACCTTAACCACGTGTAATTAATTTGTTCTAAACCCTGTTTTCTGGAAGAAGAATGAGTACTTACAGATTAATCTCGGTGAAAAGTCGTCAATAAAGAAGCACGTATTTTCTCACCCGAAGCAAAATGTTAACACGTTTTGTGTCGAAGTTCACTTCCACAAACCCTCGTGGTGGAAGTGAGTAGGTACATCATTATCTAAATTAGAAAATAATCAGGACAGGTAAAGAAATAAATCAAAAAATAAGAATTTAAATGATATAAAAAATTTCTGGTTTTAGAAAAAAGATGCACCCAAGTGGGTGCATCCGATACACAATAAAAATTTCCCTCGCAGTGGATATGGACCCAAGCATTCTCTATGACAATTACCAATTACCTATTTTTCATTTTTCATTTTTCATTTTTCTGTGAGTTCAGTTCATATAAAAAAAATTGGTAAAGACCATATTAATAAATTTATATTTTTCTAACACAACTTCTCTCACAATAATTTTATATTTTCCCAATTACTACTTCGATCCTTCACTCTAGAAATCTAAGTACCACTTGTACTCTGAAAAATCTCAAACACAATTTGGTTCAATTGATCAAACATTATTTTAATCCTCTCTAATTGTGATACATATCCATTTTGAATAATTATAACAGATTAAGTAGCCATCAATGTGCCTATTATAAAAAGCCCCCAATTAAACCGTCACATTTGACCATCCCATCCCATACATGCTTATAACAAAGGGAAAAGTTAAAAAAAATCTATGTGTTATTTTTTTAAATCACTTACATTTCTATATATTTTTTTAATCACTTAATCCCTTGTGATTTTTTTCATCCACCAATCTCCTTAACATTGTTAAAAACTTGACTAAATATGTCAATTTTTTTTTTGTAAAATAAATGCCTATTTTACACATTTTAGAAGAAGAAAATAAAGCGATAAAAAAATAAGACCAAATATTAAGAAAACATAGAATACTTAATAAAAGACTAAAAAAGTAAAACTAAATGTGTCTAAATAAAAAAATAAAATAAGGACAAAAAAATAGAAAAAAATAAGACCAAATATATTAAGAATCACAACAGTAACAGAAAAAACTAAAATTTAAAAAAATAAAAATAGTCTAAATGAAAATCTATATACTAAATACAAGAAAATAGAAGAAAAAATTAAGATAAAAAAATAGAACAAAAAGAAATCACAATTATTAGTTTTCAACATATTTGATTTTATTTTTATTTTTATTTTTTTTTTGGTTCTTGATCTATTTTATTCTTTTTATTTAGATATGTTTGGTATTTTTTCCTTTTTTTCTTTTTTTCATTTTTTGGTCTCTTTTACTCTGATTTTCTTCTTCTTCTTTTTTTAGCCTTGTGCCACCTCATTTATTAAACACCTTTGTAAAAATAAAATTTAAAAAAAAAGAATAAAATAGAGATGTAAAAAAGACTAAACATATCTAAATAAAAAGAATAAAATAGATCAAGGATAACAAAATAAAAAATAAAACTAAATATATTAAAAATTCATAACTGTTATATTTTTGTTCTATTTATTTTATTTTATTTTAATTTTAATTTTTTCTTCTATTTTTTTGCATTCAGTATATAATTTCTCATTTTTATTGTTTTTAATTTTATTTTTTTCTGTCGCTGTTGTAATTTTTAACCTATTTGTCTTATTTTTTCTTCTATTTTTTTGTCCTTATTCACATTTGATTTTTTTTTTCTTTTACTCTTTTATTAAGTATTCTAAATTTTCATAATATTTGATCTTGTTTTTCTTTTTTTTATCACTTTATTTTTCTCTTCTAAGAAGGGTAAAGTAGACATATTTAATCAAGTTTCTAACAATGTTAAGGAAGGGGTGCATAGAAAAAATCACAACAGGTTAAGTAATTAAAAAAATAACATAAGAATGTAAATGATTCAAAGCAATAGCACATAGAGGGTTTTTGAACTTTTCACTGTACAAAAAATCGGGACCAGGTATAGTTGGGTTTTGAAAGAAAAGAGAATGCAACGGAGAATAAATTTTTTTTTTATTTCGAATTAAGAGATTTATATAATATTATAATAAATGAATAAGTACTGATTAAAAGATTTCATGATAACTTATCATTTTATTGTTTCTTTCTATTTTTAAAAAGTTATAAATTATAAAATATTTACTTAAAATGAAAATTGTATCAACTCTAAAGTATAGCTCAATTGGTAAACGAATTACAGTTCAAGGGTCAGGCCCGCTGATAAAATAACAGGTTTGATTCCTATGATAATCACTTTGAAGCCGATGGTGAAAATCATTACGCTCCAAGCCACGAAGAAATTAGTCTCATCCTATGGGATAAAAACACCCTGTGTTTACTCAAAACAAAAATGAAAATTTTATCCAAGCTTTCCTTTTCCTCAAAAAACCTCCGTCAAAAACATACCCGTAGTGTTTGGTTGAGGAAAAAAATTTTAAATACTAGGAAAATGTAATTGATAGGAAAATGATTGGAAAGTGAGTTTGGTAGAAAAATGTAAAAAAAATTGTTTGGTTGGAAAAAAATTTACCAGGCAAATTAGGTAAGATTTATAAAGCCTGTGTTTGGTTTGAGATAAAATATAAATGGAAAAATAAGTGACAATTACGAAAATATATCTGCACGTAAAATTTTGGAAATTTTTTTTTCCCCCTTTTTCTTCTTCTCTTCATCCATGTATACTTTAACACTTTATTGCATTTCTTAACTTTTCTGGGAAGATATGTCTTTTCTTATAACTCATTCTCATCAAGTAGGCAAGTATCTGGTGTCGCAAGCATCTAAAGATGAGTCTTTTGTCAACAAAAGAATCTCAGAAGAAGAACATAGCTCTGAATTTTACAAGGTAGGAGTTTTTTGTCGTAGACTAAGCTCTCAAATAGTCCTTGAATGAAGAATGACAGAAAACAGTAAAAGGACTGCAGAATAGTTCCTCATAGCAGCACTGCTGGGTTTCACTATATTTGGTTTTGGTGTAACTAGCAAGGGTAGTGGTGTAGAAGTGCCTGGTAGAGTTTATAAGGAGTATCATCTTCAGCATTACTCACCATGGTTGAGGAAGAGAATAAAAGATTCTCGTTACTGGAACACTATCAAAAGTTGTATTTTGGGGTCTAACACTTGTGCCCAGCTTATCTCTTGGACCCCTCTTGACTATATGCCTCTGTCTCCAATAGAGGTAAAGAAGAGGGCTAAAGTTGTCTTCAATATGAAGTGCTTTTTCGAGTTATCCGCTTTCCACAACAATACCACGGTCTCAGAGGGCCTCCAAACAGTGCTTTTATCCGGTTTTTACTTGTTTTTCTCAAATGCTAGACAAAGCATAACAACATCAAAGACAACCAAAATGCTTCTACCAAACATGGAGTTTCACATTCCCACCTGCACTTGGCTAGGATAATTTTCACTTCTCCCCAACCAAACACTACCTAAGAATGAAAAGATTATCCAACCTCCAAAACCGCATCCTCAGTCATCAAACGTATCTTCCGAAAGGTCAAAATTGATTGAAGTAGAAGGCCAACAAGTCAGTTAAACAATAATTCTAAATCCCTCAAAAGCCACAAAAATATTGAACAATAAGACATCATTATATCAAGCCATGGCACTCCGTATGCTCAGCTAAGTTGGAGATCAGGTTGACAGCATAGTATCAACTTTGCTATAAGGAAAAGAAATTTCAAGAAATAATCCGAAATGGCATCGGTAAGTTTCCAAAGACTTCACATATTAGGCTTATAAACTGCCATTCAATGATCTTTTTCAACTAGTTTTGTTTTTGCATTGCATGAGTTACTGCTGTAGGCTCAGTGTTATAAGCCTAAGCATCAAGTGTCCTACAGCCGGGCAGTTTCAAGATTCAAATAAGCCAACAGAAAAGGAACTCCTAAAACAACATTTATTGTAATACTCGTCGGAATTTAATCTTTACGGAACCTAACACAGCTCTTGGGATTTTCTAAAACACCCCAACAAAAGTTTGACTCATCTGGTTTTGTAAGATTCGGTTAAAAACTGCAATAAGTAGAATTATTTGCACTCAAACTCGAGCATCCGTCTTGATTATTGGGATAAGGCTGACATCGGTTCATTGTTGATTTCTTCCTCCTTAATTACTTATCTCCCAGAAGAACACATAACAAGTAACATATGAAAAACATACCCTTAAGCTGTTCTCTAGAAAGATTTTTATCTACATTGTAAAACAAGACAAGACAACATAAGAACATGTCTTTGTTTAGGTGATGTAGCGAGGAGGGAGTTCTCCTTTTCTGAGAAAGGAGAGAGAGTACTCGGCAGCATCAATGAGGTCAGCAATGTTGTGCAAGCTACGTTCATCAGAACCAACCCAGAACATTGCACGTACCTTTGCCTTCTTCGCCAACCTTGCAGCAAAGCTAAGTGGCAACTCTGGGGAATTCAGACTTCTTAGTATTTGACGATACAGTGACAGAACCCGTCCTCTGTTTCTACTCAAATCCTCTGCCGTGGCCCATAACACACCCTTTCCCATTTTCTTCACCACTGCTTCTGCAACACCAAAGTAAACCCATTCCTATGATAATTAAGGTTGCATTTAATGACCAATATATAGTACAATTTATAACAATAATATAATTATGATAACAAAGAATAGGTATTATTGGTCTTTTTCTCTTTTCATTAGTTTTGTAAGTAACAAAAGTTTATTTTTAGTTTCTTTTCGAGTCAGCAAAACGGGCTCGGCTCAGGCCAATCCGCCAAACGGGACGGGCTGAGTTTTTCAACCTATCTCAAAAGCGGACGGGACGGACTCATTTTTTGACGAGTTGATGGCGGGCCGAAGTAGGTCAGTGTAAAATTGACTCGGGCTGGCGGACCAACCCACCCAACCCGCCAAACGGGGCGGAGCGAACTGAGTTTTTTAGCCCACTTTCAAAAGCTGAGGCGGGACGGGCTGACTCATCTTTTGACGAGTTGATGGTGGGGTGGGGCGGACCGCCCACTTTGCCACCTCTAGTTTCTTTTAATCGAACAAAGTGCAATTTTTTGATTCTTTACTGTTACGTCTGTCTTTTTTTTAAGGGAATCAATGGCACCCCAACAGGATTTGGCAAATTCGGCTTGGGTCATTCGAATGTTAATTTAACTAACCACATAAGTCTGAATCATTAAACTCAATAACAAGTCATATATTTAGATTAGCTTAATTTACACTTGAAAAATTCAACGGAAAAACTTCCATTGGACATATTCAAAAGAAAGATACTTTTAAGAAACATAAACAAATCTTAATAATCACACAGCAATTTTCGTATGTAAAGCAATATCAGAACCACTAATTAAAATAAAAACCTAACCAGATAAACACATCTCAAATGTTCAAATGATAAAATAAATAAATCAGAAAGAGAAATGAGGTGATGGGGGGAAGACGAATCAGAAAGAACGTAGCGATGAAAATTTTGATCATATCAAACGTATAATATTTGATGATCACCCATCTTTTTTTATATTTGCTTTCATCATATTCGCCTTCCTCTACTTGTAAAACTCAACTATAACGATTCCCAATCACACAAAAGAAGAACAGAATGAAAAAGGATCAATCAGAATCACATTGCAAAGAGAGATTCAAGGCATAGACACTCACTAGCTAAATCCAAGTTGCGATGAAGAAGGAATTCGTCAATGACGGCTTTTAAAGCAAGCGCTTCGATGAAGCCAAACCCTAGCTCCTTCAAAGCTTCTGGGCTTCACTCTCGATTTTGTTTTTGTTTTTTGTTTTTTTGGGGCTTTAAGCCCAATTTTATTAGTACCAGTTGTTAGTTAAAGAAGAAAGCAAATCTGGGCCACAAATAAACCTGATGAAACCCATTTAGGAATAACCCATTACAGTCCATGAGAATTAGGTTGGTGCACTTATACAGAGATCAAGGGTTCTAAATGGGTTAAGTCTTCGGGCTTATTCGTCTAAGTCTATATAAAATATTTAGAATATACATTAATCTATTAGCTTATTAAGATTTTGGTTTATAAATATGATCTGATCTATTATAAAAAAATAAAAAATCTAATATGACCTATATGGTCTATATCTACAAAGTTGCAAATCAAATTAAAGCAAAAATGACAAAAAATTTCATTCATTAAATATTGTTTCTAGTAAAAGTTCAAATTATAAAAGTTTTCAAACAATTTTTTAACAAGATTACAAAGATCTTTAAATAATTTTCATAATAACTAGGGGTGCAAATAAGTTAGATTAGTTATTTTTTGCAGCTTTATTTTACTCTTGTTTTACTAAAAAAATTAAAAGGTCAATCTGCAGGCTTTTAGGCCTGACCTTTTAGAGTGAGACTGTAGCCTAATTATTAAATGAGTTTTTCTGAAGTTTAAATATACTTTATTTTCTAAATAGATTAGGTCAGGTCAGGCCTAAGGTAGGTCAAGTTGTAGGCTCTTAATATGACCGCCTAACTCATTTACACCTCTATCGCATCTACTAACTACTTAAAGTCTTACATAACTTCCACTGTTTAATTACAACTGGCCTCGCTCGCACACATGCACTTTAGGGCTATTTTTTTCTTTCAATTTATGTATTTCCATTGATAAATATAAATTCTTTTAGTCTCTCAATAAATAATATAAATCAAATAGTGTTATAAATTAAAAAGAAAAGTAGAGCATGATAGACATAACTCAAAGAAGAATATAGTAATGATTTTCTATTGTATTATGGTAAGTCTTAAGCTTTGTACATACCTCTATTTATATGCACTCAAGATATTGTAGGTAACAATGAACGGAATAATCAAAGTTACTCATCTTCATTACTCCTTTTAGGAGTTACAATTTAGGGGTTAAGTTTTTATGAGTTATAGACATCCAAATATTCTCGTAGATGTCCAATAATGTATCTCGTTACTAAGGGTGTTCATCAACCGATCCAAACCGATTCAAACCGTGGCGACCGAACTGAAAAACCGAAAACTGACTATACCGAAAACCGAAAAATCAAAATCCAAAAAAGACCGCAAATTTTAATTGGATTGGATCCGTTTTCGGTTTGGTTGATGAAAACTTATCTAATACACACTGATCCAATATATTAATTCTCCTCTCTACCAATTTGGGCTTTTCTCCAATCATAGTCCAAAAAATTCTAAACCTAAGACTCATTAACCCATCAACTAAACCCAAAAACAATCTAGCCACATCTCATCAGCAAAATTTTATCTGTGTAGAGCTTCATATCTCATTGCCAAAAAAAAACTATATTATCGTTTAGTGATGCTTCTGTATTTCAAAAAAAACTTTACAAAGTCAATATATTTAAAAGATATGTTATTTGCATAATAATCATGAAACAAATTTTAGGCTTTTAAAAAAAATCGAAAATTGGTCCAATCTAAACTGAAAAAATTGGATTGAATCGGATCGTATTTGAAAAAAAAAATCCAAACCGAATGGATGATTACATAATCAAACCGAAGGGATTGGATCAGATTATTTTTGCTTCCAATCCAGACTGTGAACACACCTACTCGTTATTAAGGTTGGGCATGGTTCGACTGGACCTTTTTTTTTGCTAAATCAGTTCGATTCAAAGAGTAAAACTATTTTATTTTATCTAAACTAGTTTCATTTTTTTAAAACGGTTTAAATTGCTTCATTTCCAAACTAGATCAAGTGTGAAAATATGTTCTGAATCAGTTTCAAAACTATTCTGATTGTTTGAGTTAAAATAAATCAGTAATTCTTCCAATTTTACAAACCAGTTCTTTTGGATTGGTTCAATTTTTAAACTTGTTTATGAAACCAGTTTGGTTATGTTCTGTTCAACTCGATTTGGTTTGATTATTTTGCACGGCTGATGCGACTTCAGCAAGTACACCAAATGTAAAAGTAATAAAGTATACGGAGTACGAGATCGTTCCCACGAGTATTAGAATTTCAATCACTAGTTCACTATTTATGCTTTATTTGGACAACCAATAACGAGAATTTATGAATGAAAATTTAGGACGAACAATAATCAAATTAACAAAATTATAAAAACAAGCAAGTGAATTGGAAGTTCTTTAACAATCAAAAGAGTGCAGTTAGGAATTCGATTTCCCCCAATTTCCCCTTTATGTTATAAATTAAACCCTTTAGTAATCGCCCTTAATATATTGTCAATCGATTCCTTTAAATTAGTTAGGACTCAATCCCTTGACACCTTAATTCTTTATTATCTTGAAATAATTCTAATTCTTTGGCTATTCCTCAAAAAAATAAGCATTAAGATCAAGAATCATAAGATTGCATAATTATCATATGTCTATTCCTAGAATAATAAGGATTACGATGAATTTATGATGCATAGATCATGTACCAAACATTCTTATTGTCATGCAATCACCTTAATCCATTCTATAAGGATCAAACTCATATAAAGCATTAAGAATGAATAAATCTATGCAATATAAAAAGGGAAATTACATTAAGCATTTACTCTATAAACATAAAGGTTCAATTGGGTTCCATCTATCCCTAATTACAAAGGAATCTAGCCTAGCATAGCGAATTCAAAGACATAAGAAAACAGAAAAGCTTCCCCAAACTCCATTGGTGTGATGGCGTTGTGAATTTTCAAAGTCTTCAGCGTATTCTTAAAATCCACCCGTCTCCATTGCTCCAAAGCATGAAGAACACGCTTCTATGACTCGAACCAGACTTTTACTCCTCAAAATCGTCAAAAGGTCCTTAACTAATCTTCAAAATTCCCTTTTATAGGTAATGGATTTGTGCCCCAAGTCAGTTCAAAGAGTTTGGCCTTAATTGGATGGTGATAGGGCGCTAAAGCGCGCTTTAGCGTGCTGAAAACATATTACAAAATTGCACCAGCGCGGTAAAGCACCTTAGAGCGTGCTAAAGGAAAATTCTATATGATATCTCGTGTTAGCACACTTTTCCAGAAGCTTTTGGCTATTTCTGTGCATTTTGCACGCTTTAGTGCACTGTTCTGCGCTAAAGCACCTTTTTTCAAGTAATGAAATTGCTTATATGATGTGCTTGAGGACTTCTTCGATCTTCTATCTTGTACTCCAAATCCTTTAACTTCATCATTGCTCAAATTTACATCAATTTACCTTCAAAACAAGCAAGAATAAGTCTTGTTAGTTCATAATCCAACTTTCATGCTTTTTCACCAAATAACCTTGATTTTCATGCTTTTGACTCCCTTAAGACATGATAAACTATAGGTTTATCAACAGCTCTACTCACTACAAATTTACTTGGAAGAGTTCATTTTTTGTCATATGTATTGCAAGCTGCCTTATTAAAAAAAAATAACACAGAAATCCTAATGGAACAAAACCCTGGTGAAGAAAATAAGGATGCATAATATATTACACTCATCCTAAGGATAACATCACCTAATATCTTTGAGTTTACACATCACAATCTTATGTATCAACTTCTCAAAACTAGTAGGTAATGCCTTTATAAATAAATTTGTCAAATTATTACTTGGATGAATTTATTGAACATCGATCTCACCAATTTGTTGAAGATCATAAGTGAAGAAGAACTTTGGTGATATATGTTTCTTTCTATCTTCTTTGATGTATCCACCTTTTAATTGAGTTATGCATGTAACATTATCTTCTTGTAATATTGTTGGAATAATTTTTTCTAACTAAAGACCACATGTTTTTTTGGATGTGTTGGGTCATTGATCTTGTCCAAACTCATTCTCGACTTGTTTCATGAATCGTTAATTATCTTTGCATGCTTTGAAAAAGTGCATGCTATAGTTTATTTTGTTAAAAGCCATGAAATTGCTATGCTTTCACTTATGAATAAATATCCTATTTAGGACCTAACTTTGTGTAGATCAGATAAATATCCTACATCTATAAAACCTTCAAGCTGATGTCCACATTATTTGAATAAAATAAGCACATATAAGCAGTCGCTCGAAGAAATCGAAATATATGCTTAACATTGTTTTTGTGTCTTCATGTTGGGGAAGAACTAAATCTTGCTAATAGTTTTACAGAAAATGCTATATATGATCGTGTACTACTAACAAGATATTTTAGTACCCTAACTGCACTGAGATATGGCACTTCAATACAAAAAAGTTCTTCACCATTTTTATGGAATCTTTGTCAAGCAATCTCACAATCATTGGGGATCTCAATGGAAGTGTTTTATCCATGTAAAATCGCTTTAAAATATTCTTTATTTAAGTTGATTGGTGGATTAATATTACATTTATTAAATGCTCAATTCTCAAGCTAAGACAAAACTTTGTCTTTCCACTAGCTTTCATTTCAATTTCTTTCTTCAAATAATGTACTCCTTTCAGAAGCTCTTTAGGAGTGTCGATGATATTTAAGTCATCCACATATTCACTTATTATGATAAATTTAGATCCATATCTTCAAATAAAGACATAAGGGAAAATGAGGTTATTTTTGTATCATTCCTTTAATAAATATTCATTAAGGCAATTATACAATATAAGCACTGATTGCATTAATCCATATAATTATCTTTGAAGTTTTATTGAACAAATTTATCAGGAACTTTTATATGCTTCGGGCATTTGAATCCTTAAGGAATCTTCATATAAATTTCACTATTGAGTGAGCCATCTAAATAGGTTGCAACCACACCTATTAGATGTACGTCAATTTTTTCATGTATTCCTAGACCAATAAGATATTTAAAGGTGATTGTGTTCGCCACGAGAGAATATGTTTTCATATAT